AGCAATGTTAATGATTCTCTTCCTTGCTGTAAAATGGGGTAGTTCGTCCTACTTGTGGAAACATTTAGGATAACTTAGATCTAATTTTTGTTTTACATTTCTAAAATGCTAGAAATAATCTTAGAAATCTTTTTGAAGATAATTTCTTTTATAAAAGCTCCAAATATGGCTTCCCTGAGAAAATTCAATTGATGTGCTTTATCAAATACAGCACTGTCTAGTTGTAAATATGAAAGAAAAAACTCTACAAGCTTTCCCAATTGAAATCCAAAGTAATCAATAAAAATGATTCAAAAAATCTAAAAAAAATAAAAAGGGAAATTTTTTTACTAAAAAATAAAGAGAGAACGTAGTTCATATATATAGCATCAAGAAACAAACTAGCAGTATAATCTAAGCCAGGCGTCCTCAAACTACAGCCCACAGGCCACATGCGGGTATTTTTGCCCATTTGTTTTTTTACTTCAAAGTAATATATGTGCAGTGTGCATAGGAATTTGTTCATAGTTTTTTTTTAAACTATAGTCCGGCCCTCCAACTATAGTCCAATCCCTCTGAGGGACAGAGAACTGTCCCCCTGTTTTCAAAGTTTGAGGACCCCTGATCTAAGGCCATATTGAGAGTGATAGGCTCTGTTAAGTTCTCTTCTCTATTAATAAAAGGCAATAGAGGCTTTTTCTACCCATGAAATATTAAAAGAAACTAGTTCTTATTATTTTAATAAAATAAAGTTTTTCTTCTTTTATAAAAATTCTCAAATTTCTATTAAAAATCCTTAAATCACTCAAGTTCTACAGTTGATGTTTATTTAAATATTTAATAAGTATTTTCTATAGTTTGATAGTTACTATTAAATTTTATATAATTAACTTCATATGCAAACTGACTTTCTTCTCAGGTAAACAAAAAATAATGTCTACTAACTGTATTAAACATATCTCCATATCATGTGGGGAAAATCAGGAAACAAAAACAGTAGTTACAGAACTTAAAATGGATTTAATATTCAGAAACTGACTTGAGGACATGCCCTAAGCTTTTGATATTACTCATCAAAGCAGAATGTCAATGACAAAGACTTCAATCCTCGTTCCTCCCGATGGGAGAGATAGAGTCTGTACAAAGAGTTGTTTTCATTTATAACTCATTTAAATCATTTCTTCCAGATATTTCATGTTTAATTCACAGTGCTAAACTTAATAAAAAGATTATAAAATATTTGAAGCAAGCATATGTATAATTTATTCAGTTGTTTTTCTCCAAAATGTAGACATGTACTGAACTGTTTGAATATTAAATGCATCAAGGTTATATTCATTGTAACTCATATTTTTTCCTTATCTTTCCTAAATTTATATATATTGAGCCTAGCAGAATATATTGAATACATTTACAATTGAATATATTTATCAGCCTATCCTTTACCATGTTGTTTTATGAATGTATTACGGATTCAAATAGATGGCACTGGATTCTCTTCTACTGGCAAAGTAGAGGTGGGTATACATCAGCAGAAAACAAAACAAACGGACCTAAAATCATGTGTAGGAACTAGATCATTTCCAGTGATTATTAAAAAAAAAAAATGACATACAGTATTTCTGTATTTCTGCAGTTTCTTGGCCAGCTAGTCTTTTCCACCAGATTCATCTATCTTTTCTAAATATTAAAAGGTAGTAAAACTATGCAAGTAAAAGTCATAACAGTAATAATAATGAAAATAATAATTTATGTGATCCTGACCATCATGTACTGTACTAAGCACTTTATGTATGTTAACTCTTTAAATTCTCTGAACGCTATGCAGTAAATATGATAAAAAAAAAAAACAAGAACTTTATTGGTTAAGAAAACTGACTTGCAGAACGGTTAAGAAATTTGACCAAGATGAGCTAGTAATGAGCACAGCAGAAATTTAAAGCTAAATCATCTTTCATACCTAGGAAGATACAAACAACTCAGTACATTGGATTTGTGTGTAATATATTTGCTCTGTTGATGAACACTGAACTAAGGTTGGAGCACCTTCTAATTGTTTCGTGAAAAAGTGTTGATATTAAATGTGATTTGTATGCTCTATTTTGGACCCATACTTTGTTACTCTGAACATTATTTGAATAAGAACTTGCTAATAATTTGAGCAGTTGTCACTTCAAAATCTTTATGCAGTACAAATAGATCACTCTTGAGTTGACATCCAATTTTTAAAATTTTCAAGTCCATGTGTACATGATTAATTTTTCTTCGTAGAGTTACGACAACATTCACATGCTCTTCTCTTCTGATTTCGGCATTTTGGTAGTTTGGGAAATGTGATAAGATAGCTTTGTAGCTTGATTAACAGGTTAGTGCACATAGTATTTCTCTACTCTTTCCTACTTTTCCTATAAACATCACATTCTCACAGTTTCTCCTTTATCCCCTGTCCACTTGCCTCTATTTCCTTCCACTGAAATTTATTTTTCTTCCCTCTTATCCATGAATTTCCTTCTTTCCCTAACATCATGTGAGTTACTCGGAAGCTGTTTGAGCTTGGATTTCTTTGATGACTTGTAATTGTGAAAATTCTGATTTTTTGATACTTCCATTTATTTGGATTGTAGACGCCAGAGTTTATTTTGCAAAACAGTTTTTGTCAGCCCTGGCAAAAGACATATCACTTTCATTCAAGCTTTGCACCATGTGTCCATAAAGAAAGGTCATTTTATTTTAAATGCATGTCCATATGCAGTAACAAAGGCACTAATTCTAAGGATATTGCAGAAAGCCTAGCTGACTGCTGCTTCTAGAACCTTCAGGTTCTGTCTCTTCCTAGTTGTGACCTCTGTAATATATTAATACTTCATAGATTAATAAACTATTCTGGCCCCAGAATCAGGATTCCAACCTATTCACTGCAACATGTCTAGATGTAAGATATGTTTACCCTTGTATAATCAATGATCCCAGTCTACATGTCAAATACTTGCTTGCCCTCCTATGTATTAACTGATCTCTGCTCCTAGACCTTCAGGCTCTATCAGATCCTTCCTTAAAAATTCATATGTCCTTGTCTTGTTGCTATCCATTGCATAATATTGAAATGGTTAATGAAAAAGGCTCCTAAATTTTATCTTTTTATTATACAAAAAAATTTTCATAAAAATGTAAAATAAATTTTAAAACTCCTTGTTACTCTTTTGTAATATGTTGTTATAGATTCTAAGCAACTGTCTCTTTTATAGGCAGCATAATTATGAATGAATTTCAAATGCAGACTCTATGACTCTAATTAAACTCGAGGCCACAATCCATTAAAAACAGATTACAAGCATTAAATTAGTTGTAAGAAAAAATAAATATGCCACATGAATTAAAACTATGAAAATAAGTGAGGAACAACAATTTCAAATAATTTGTATTTATCTACAATTTTTATCAAAATAACCTAAAATATTCTTTGAATTTTATCAGAGATAAAATTCTTATACTTAATTTTTATATACATATACATCACACTTTCTCTTACTTATTTCCTTACTTTATTCTATTCCAAGAAATCTTTGACAGTATATCCCAAGTGTGAGACTGAAAGAGGTTCTATATTTCAGTTGTAAGAATATATTAGTTTTAAGAACATTATCATTAAACTCAGAAGTATTTAATTGTGGGGATTTTAGTTTGTAGGAATCAAATCAAAGTGACTAAGAATTAAGTTGAAGCAAACTGAAATTTCAACATCATTGTAGAACTGATTAAGAGAGCAAATCTTAAGAAAATGTCATGTCGGATGACTACACCTCAGTTTGCACACTTGGGAGACGCATTTATTATTTAAATGTTTTTTCTGAAGTCTTTGAATGCTTAAGGATTGGGATACATTATGAAGAGGAGCTTGTTGAATATTGTGTCTATCAAGTTCAATTGTACCTAGGTCTCACTGCCATCTTTCATACCGTAGGTCTCTAGTGAAGAATTACATAAGTTTGAATCTAGCACCTCTGATGTGGACAAGCACATGATGAAGGAGAGATAAAGAAACTGAAAGAAAGCAAAAATATTCTCCAGCAAGAATACCCTGGGGGTACAGAAAAACAAACAGAATTTCAAACAGAAGATTAAGAACAAATTCAAACAAATACATCTGGAGGTAATATGTAAAAGAAAATGAGATAATTTAGCACAGGTATTCTAAGAGTTTGAGAAGATGCTGGTGCTTATGGGAGAAGGTCGCATTGCTGACAGGAGCATGTAAAGGCAGCAAGGAAAGGAAATTCTCATCAGGAGGCCTAGAGAACACACATGACAGCAGTGGTGCCCCTCTGCCCTGGCTCCACACAGAGGAAAGTAGAGGTAAAGATAAAGAAAGAGATTGATAGAAGCTATCAAATAGTTGGAAAACATTATTAAAATAAAAAGTTATGCTTCTGAGAAGATTCTTAAACTGTGCCTAGATTTAAGACATGGAGATACATCATACTGTGATATCCAATTTAGAATCAACCTGAATTAATGTCCTTATTGCAATAACTCGCCACTTTTTCTCATCTAGTTCACTCCAGGCTTCACAAGGCATCAGTGGTCTGATAAAAGCTTTCTAATTGAAATGTTCTTAAGTGCCACATTTTACTAATGGCAGGTATCAAGGGATCCAGACTATCAAGGAAACAGAAGCAAAGCAACTTGTCCTCTACTATGTTTTCTACCACTAAGCTTGCATTAGGAGAGGGTGATGGTTAAACCCAGCAGGAAACATAAGTGTTGGAAATTAACTAAAAGCAAATGGTAGTGTGTCATGGAAATCTAGGGCTTGCTGGACCACATCACCCCTTCTCATAGGAAGTCCTGAAAAAGAAACGCAGGCTAACGAAAATAACCTTTCGAGGAGCAGGTAATAGGCTTTTGACTTACAAATGTTATGGAAGTTGCTAGTGTGTTCTTTTGGCTTCTAGTCCTATTCAGTTTTCACCATGAGCTACAATCTGTCTTTGGAAGGAGAGTATAAGAAGCGGATGCCTTACCGCCTCCACCTCAGCAGGGTCATACCAGACGTTGATGTAGGGGTGCTGTAAGGCGTCATCCACTGATATCCTTTTTGCTGGGTCAATCACTAGCATCTTTGACAACAAGTCCCTGGCTTGGCTAGCTGAAACAATGAATGAGAAAAACAAGTAGTGAGATTTTTATTTTAGTAAGGAAATTTGTTGAATGGAGAGAGAACTAAGAAGACAAAGAATCCAATCATATCTTCCCTCCAAATATTAGGTAAATTTCTTGATGTGTTGGAAAAGGAAATGCATTTTACATGTGTCTCTAAGTCTAAGGCTTCATTTGGGGTTCTTTATGGGCCGTAATGCTATGATTATATGAGTATAATCATTTATTTAGATTTCTAGGCAAAATTCATCAACCCAGAAAATCTGTATAGGCAAAGTAATCTGCTTGGGAAATCTGTGTGAAAATAGGATAAAGAACATGGGAAATGCAAATGAATGATGTTGAAAAAAATGTGTGGATGGCTGCTTGAAGTTAATCAATGTGTATGTTTTATATTCCCATTCGTGCAATGAAATTATTAGAATTTGAGTATTCAAATTAACTCAAGAGATCACGTAGTACAAATTTCTGATGTACCAAAAAACAACGTGAGGAATTGATGTGATAGAAATATTCAACTACTGAATTTTATTTTAACATTCTCTAATCATCAGGCATTTTTAATCAATGGAATCATAATTTGGTGAAATCAAGTAGCTAGAGACTGAAGCCAGTCCAATGCTACACCAAACACTAATGAAAAACTCTATATTATATACATGTTATCATGATTATTTTATGGTTGTGAGCAGTAAAGTTATGAAATTATATGGTAATAATCAGTAAGTATGTTTACTTAATAACACTATTTAAAGATACATTAATTTTAATCTCTAAAAATATATAAAATTGTATATAAAATGAGGTTTTAAGAGAAATAAGAAATATCCTACATCAATATTGTTACTCAACTTATTTGAAAGTAAAACAGTGAAAATATTCAATTACTTATTAATGGAAGTGTTTATATTCAGTAAAAAATATGTAGTCTCATTTACTACTCTAAAATGAAAAGTTAGTCATTAAGTACTTTATAAAAACAAATAAAAGAAACTCAGACACCTGCATCTCCAAGATTTTACAATTAAAAACTTGTCTCAAAAATATTTTCTAAGTAATAAAAAGGACTGGAACAATGATTTCAATGTATATTATTTTTGTATTTTAGAATTAAACTTAAAAATAATTTTAAAATTCTAAATAGACCTCCATGAGATAGTTAACCCACACTACTGTCACACACTTACCCTTCCTCTGAATATCCAGACAATTCAAACATCTTTGATTACTCCCATTTGTAAGAAAAATCTTTTAATAAATACCTCTCCTTAATTTGAAGTAGTTCAAGTTAAAGAAATGATAAGTGATTGAGGTGATGGGTATGCTAATTACCTTGATTTGACCATTACACATCATATACATGTATTAAGATATCATTTTGCATCCCATAAATATGTACAATTATTACATGTCAACTAAAAATAAAAGAAAAAATGAGAAAGAGAGAAAGATCAACACTGTGTGCTTGTTTAGCCCATCACCTGTTTAGCACAGTGGTTCCCAAGTCACCCCTGAAGGGCATACCTTTGAGTTTATTGTGCTCAGAGTCAGCGGGGAAGAGGGAATCCGGAAAGAGCTTGGGGAAGGTGAGTCCCGCATACTTGGGCCGATTCTCCACATAGTTTCTTACTGTGGGTTGCAATTTCTTCATGAATTCTGGACATGGTGTTCCTAGTTGTTCAATTACCTTATTCCACTGGTCAATATCTGAGAATTGAATCGTTAAGGGAAAAAGGAAGTGCAGACCACTAGCTTTTGACTTTCAATAGTTAGGAAGCTAACTCTTCTCAGAATCCTAAACAGTCGACAGAAGTGGAGTTTAATAAGCAATAAAGAACAAAAATATATAAATCAGAATTGTTGGGCAATGAATCCTCTTGGAAGTTTAAATTCACCTTTGGAACTTACATACTTTTGAGGAACTAGAATTATTTAACAAAATAGGATATCATGAAATAGTCTTTGAGTTGTAAAGATGAAAAGTTATTCAAATAACACAAGAAGAATCTCTTACATTGAGATAAACTTCTATATAATCATGTGATTTAGAAGAAAGAATATAATGACACATGGTAGTGCTATTTTAATTCTAATTTATATTTTTAAATTATTTATAATTTTAATTATATCATAAAATTAATTAATATAATTAATAAATATAATTATCATACCTTTGTGTTAAGGTAATTAATTCATTTCCACTAATGTCATGTATGACAGTTCAAAGACCCTTACCATAATATTACTTACTTGAGTTTCTTCGGACTAAAAAAAGATTGATGGTCCTGATGAAAGACAAAATTAACTATATTGACAAATTAACTAAAATAAGCATATAATGCAAATAGAATAGATAGGATATTGAAAAAAGGTAAAATCAAATTAATTCACAAATCCTCTTCAACCTCCCTTATAATCTAGCTGAATAAAACTTAAATTACTATATATCTTTTCAGTTATTGGAGTGAAAACATATATTACTATGGACTATTAAGAAATGAAATGAGGGTAGGAAAAACTGAGAACATTCTTTTACAAAATAGTAGCAATAATTAAACGAGAACATGCTTCAATAAAAGTTTATCTAAATAACCATGTGCATGAGAATATAGTAGTAAGTCAGAATCACTATAAATAAAAACAAACACTATATAAGGTTAGAGTTACAAATTACTCTTAGACAAAAATCCACATTAATACTATGGATGTAGGTAAGCTATAACTACTTAGACATGTTTATATAGAAAACATTAGTATAGTTAAATAAAACTCAAGCGCTTGTCATTGCAAATTATGAAAAGAAGCCTATTATTTAATACAGTTAGGTTACCATGCCCCACCAATCCATGTTTTGATCATTTGTCAGATTTCTTAGAACTCTAAAGCCTTGATGTCGAACTTAAAATAGAGGCAAAAAAAACTGTCAGATTTTCGGTAAAGAAGTCGTTTAACAAAATTGGCAAAATAATCCCAATACACTATTGTATTCTAGTTACATTTAGCTAGAATTATAAAATTATTCAGTAAAGAATTAATTGCTTTTAAAGTAGCATTCCCAGTCAGGCTTGATAGCTCATGCCTTTAATCCTAGCACTCTGGGAGGCTGAGGTGGGAGGACTGCTTGAGCTCAGTAGTTCAAGACCAGCCTGAGCGAGAGAGATCCCATCTCTACTAAAAATAGAAAAATTATCCTGGTGTCCTGACATGAACCTGTAGTACCAGCTACTCAGGATGCTGAGGCAGGAGGACTGCTTGAGCCCAGGTGTTGGAGGTTGCAGTGAGCTATAGTGAGCCATTGCACTACACCTGCAGTGACAGAGCGAGACTCTGTCTCAAAAAGAAAAAAAAAAAGTAGCATTCCCAAAACAAAAAAATGGCATTTTTACAGTCAAGTTTAAGGAGAGTCAAATATTCTAGAGTTTGTTAAATAAGAATAGTTAAAATGTTTCTTTTAATAAATCATAATTAGTCTAAAGACACAGGGTACTTTCCTAGCTTAGATTGCTTTCAAATAAAAACACAATTGTGGTCTTTGATGCAATGGTTTACAAAAAGAAGAATGGAAAGACTATTATTGTCAATGAAATAAACATTCATATGAAAAAAGAAAAAAAAAGTATAGCCATCTTTAAAAAACAGTGCCTTTGTTTTAACCAATCTATTTCAAGTTTTTCTTCCCATAAATATGTATACATTTAACTGGTAACTACTTGCTTTCTAGATGTTCATAGGACGCTAACACCAACAACTAGGTCTGACTTAGCTGAGCATATGATTTTTCCTTATAATCATAATTAACTAAATATAAGCCAAGACTGAAAGTCATATTTGCTGTTTCCAAGTTCACTGCTTGTTCCAAGTATTTCCATAAGGAAAAGAGCAAATTTGGAATTAATGTGCTAAAAAATGTGTTTTAATTTGGCCGTAAAATTGATTTTATGTTTTGTCACAGGCAATTTTCCAAAAGACTGTCTCCGAGGCTCCTTCACTAGGTTATTGGGTGAACATTTTTCCATAAAAAAAATTAATTTTATTAATATTTTATATAGAAGTGAGGTGATTTTTAAAAGGAGAAAAATCATCAGATTTCCATAATGATTATACTTTTTAAAAATATATAAAATATTAACTAGATTTGTAAGTGTTAAATATTAATAACATGGTAAACCTGTTTTTAAAAAGAATGGCCAAAATTATTTTTATAAAAGGATTTGCTTTAGAATACCCATAAGTCATCATTTTCCTACCACATAGACTAAGAATCTGAATTATTTGATAGACCCTAGACCTGTGCAGTTATCAAAAAAGATAAACATTTATTTTTATATTTTTGATGTACTGTTTCAGAAAGTATCACCCTCAGAATAAATTATCAAATGCACTGGATACAAATGGAAAAATGACATTAAGAATTATTTGACAGAAAATTTCCTCATATAATTCTAAATTCGCTAGATAAAAAAGTTATATTGTGTAAGTTTGATTTTATAAGTAGAGTATGATGACAAGATAATGTGCACATGTAATGATTACTAAGGTCTTCAATAAATACTATTGCACTCGGAGAATAAAACAAAGTAAATGTGAATAGCAAAGATGAGTATCTGAAATCCTCAGACTGAAAATTATTACAGTTAATATGTCAGTTGGCTAAGAACTTACATTTCAAACACTTCTCTTACTTTAGCTTCCTTGGTTGGGAAACTTTCTAAAATAATAATGCCTTAAACATAATGTATGAAAAAGTCAATCTTTATTTTTGCACAGGCCCCTTATATGACTTATCCTTTTCTGGATATTTTGAGTCATAGTTATGAACAGAATTTAAGCTATGCACATTTAAGCCTTCAGAAGCTACTAAGTGTAATCATAAAGAGCTGTTTAATGACTTCATTCTGTTGGACCCTTTGAATTATTATATCTTCTTTTTTATGTTTTCTTCTATCACTGATTACTTTTTGTCATTATGAATGTAATTTCCAGAACTGATACCCTCATGTTTTTGTTTTTTATTACTTGCTTTCTACTTTGCTTTAGGCCTTATATCCAATCCTTGTGCAACGATGTTCTGAACTCTATTCACAACTTAAAGGATATCAGTGTTAGTCTCCATGTTCTTAGCTATATCTTAAAGACAATATTGCCTAATAGCAATGTTTGTATAGAATTGTTCCAGGAGAGGATATTTTATCTTGCAAGCCAACCAGCTGCCTATGCAAAATGTTGAATGCGACTTTATGTGGCTTTACATTAGCTCTCTAAGAAAGAATGCTGTGATCAATTAGTAGTGTCTACAATTAATGTGCAATAAGGAAATGGAGGTACATCTGCCACAGGTTAGGCATCATAATATGAAACTGTGGTTCCCAAAATTGAATATTCATAACATAGGGAACTTAACACAGATCCCCCTTCCCTTCTCATTCATTGATCTACAAGAATCTCAGTCTATAGGTCTGGGCTAATATCATAAGAAACACCAATGGTAATTATAATCCAGATGGTCCTGGGATTATATTTTGAGAAATACTAATGTAGAATATATTAAGACTTTCTTGTGAGTTACTAAGTCTAGAAGTAAGAATAAAGTACTCAAATACTTCAGTTTTATGACGCAAATTAGAATAGGTTCAAATTCACCAAAAGATTATTCCACGTCTATTTGCTATGGAAAACTTGGGGGTCATTCAACTGGGAATATTTAAGGGAAAGAAAAATCCTAATCTTTATTTCTTTTCCCCATGTCACTTTCCTGAAAAGTCCAGGGGAAATTATAGTAAGTGGTACACATAGGCTCCCAATAGAGGGAGAAAGATTAAGCCTATCATCATCTATGAGGGAATTGAAATTATTAATATATATTGCTATTACCTATAGAGTACCACCCTTGGAAAGTACAAAAGCCATTCAATATAAAATTCAAAATACTTGCCAATGTATTTCAGTAATTATAGTTCTTCATGATAAAATCAGTTCTTAAAAGAATTTTTACTTCCGAGGAAAACTGTAAAGATAAGGATAGAAATATATATACATATGACAGAGTTCTGGACCTAGATTTTCACAGTTATATTTTGAGTTGTTTTGTTCCTTTAAAAAGGTTTTTAGGGTTTTTTTTTTAATGTGAAAGTGCTCTTTTCTGTTCAAACATCCCCCTCAAATTCTGGTAACATGAAATATGAATAAGGGACTTAATGTACAATTGCAACTAACATCTGTTTTTATTATAAATGAGCACAGGAAGAGGATCCTTTATAAGCCAAAAGACATCAAAAACTTAAAGCTGCAAATTAAGTAAAAGGCTATGTGTACACTGGCATTAGCACATTGCTAGTGTGATGTTAATACTATGGGACATGGAATATCTATCCAAAGGCTGATATTTGAAGCCTGTGCATATGTATCTTAGTACTATCTATGTCATTTTATAAATCTATTTTTATTATAATCTATCTTTACTTTAAATTTTAAAATGGAGAGCTATTTCTCATATAAGCAAATCCAAGGTATATAAATATGTATCATGGTGGCAGAATGTTCATTAAGCTATGGAAGGTTAATCTTTGGGGCCTCTCATTTAAGACATTGTACCTAATTTTATACATGTGATTTTAATTCTTTTTTGTAAATAGCACCCTCTCCTAATTGTATGATACTGTCACCCTCAAATGCTAGATTCTGACTCTATCTGCATGTGATAGCATTTT